AGACGTGTCATTCAATTTGACCCTACAATTGACAAGGAGAGAAAGTTTATCAATAATTTAAGGTGGAACATGTTGGTCTATGCCCAGACAGTTCCAAATGTGCCGCTTCGGGAGCAGTCATACGGGAAAAGCGACTAAATGGCCGATCACACAGAAATCGGCTGTTATGGACTGTAAAGCTTATGAATAGCGATTGATTTTAAGTTGATAGGTACAGTACATGTATATGTAAATGAGAACATCAGTTAGGTGGGTATTACCAGTGTAAAGCATTAAGCCGATGATCTAATCAGAAAAAGATATAGCACTCGAACGAATCGACTATCTAATACGAACGGATCTACAAACGCTCTAAATCTAATCTGTTACCACCAACAGTGAGGTTCGACCGGATCGATGGCAGCTATGATGATAGTAACAAACTAAAACCTAAGAATCCGCAAAAACATCCGTACTTCGACAGGCTTTCCGAAAGACATGCTATACGTGAAGGTTTGGATGAATCGGCTAAAATAGTTTATTCAGGTTAAAAGGACTACAGCGTGTGAACAATCGACTATTTCACATGGACAAACCTATGGACTCCTCAGACTCAACCCGCTATCTCTAACAGTGGGGTTCGACCGGATCGATGCAGCCATGAAAAAGACAACGAATCAAACCCTTAAAGTACATAGATCTACTCACACTTAACGGAATCATGTAAACATGTTGTTGGCGTTAACGCACAGGCGATTGGCTATTTAGCCGATGCAGGCATAGCAAACAGCTAAGGTCATGCTTAACCAAGAACAAATCTACTAACTAGCATCCTCCAATCTACAGTGCCATCAGTGGGGGATCGACTGGATCGTTACAACCATAATGGTGAACCATAAACTAGATTCAACTAGCCAGCAAACCTCTTCAAGATTATGCATGTCTTAACCGCGTACTATGCATGATCAAGATCGAAGTAAAACAGCCAATGAAACATAAACCATCGTTCAAGGTAGATAACATCGTGTTGTAACAAACGAACGATGGATCTAAAGGATATGATGCCGATCTCATTCGATCTCAACCAGACGAATTGATGTTGCTGTAAACTAATAACAATGAGAACATCAGCAGGATCGGTAACTTAATGAATCTACCCGAAGGATGCCACCCTTAGATAGAGCCGATAACTTGACCTTAATCTAGTTCGAGCAGTGGAGGTCGATCGGATCGATGTAGAGAGTCGATAACTAGCTTATACCAGAGTGGCAGTGGAGGTCGATCGGATCGATGCAGCCGTACGAACAGAAGTATAAGCCATGATGGTACTTATAGACAAGCCGGAGGTCGGTCGGACCGATGCAGCTCTGCTCGCTGAAGAACTCGTCGAGATCTACTCTACTCCTACTCCTAAGGGGTGGCCGGAGCCAAAAAAGTAAGTAACTTGTATTTGATTGATTGTGTGTCCTTTACAATAGCCGGGGCCCAATATTTATACCCGGAGTCTACGCATGAATCCTACTTAAGCACGACCCATTACAATCTTTGGCATAAGAGAAAACATCCCTAATTTGAGATAACTTTGACCCTAATCTTTCCTTTTTTGTAGAGTCCAACATGTTTTTCCTGACGCCAACTGTAGCTTTTATCGTTATCTGCTGGCATTACCTGAAGAGAGCCGATTCCAGTACTGCATTCGAATCAGCTGATACCAACCTTGCAATCGATTCCTTGATGACACGATCTTGGGAGCTTTCGAGTTCCTGCAATTCTTCTTCCCAAATTTTGGTGTAAACAACCTATCAGTTTACTTTTCATGCATTGTGATATATGTGTGATCGTGAGACGTTTGTGACATGTGTGTTCTCTACTTTGTTATATATATGTCATGTTACTTATTTATGCTCATTTGCCTTGCTTCCGTATTATACTCCGATTCAAATGAGCTCTATGTTTTGTACTCGTGCTTATTTTATATCTATTGAGTACATTATGTTGGCTTGGGTCATGTAAGCATTCCTAACCCCTTAGGATCATTGTCATTTGCTTATATGAACCAAGCTTGTTGAAAACCTCACCCATCTCTTATACTCATACTCGAGGTTATGTTGTCATCAATCGCCAAAAAGGGGAGATTGAAAGCATCTAGGCCTCTAGTGGGTTTTGGTGATTAATGACGACATAAAATTATTGTGACTAACGTGTATTTTGCAGAGGCAATTTGAGTTAGGACACGACAATGGAGATTGTTTGGGTAATCAATGGTTTTGGTGCCCCTATCGATGGAAATCGTTTTAGTTTTCAAAGGATGGACGACAAGGTTAAGGATGGACTAGTTCTAAGTGTCGATTGGCGTTGGAGAGACACTTAGAGTAGTTTAGGACTTTGTTTTTTCTTTGGCCATACTATTAAGGGGGTATGAACTAGTAGCTTGACCTAGATGAGTCTAATGTGTTTGGTGTGGTGCACACTTGTCAAACTTAGCACTAGGTAGCTCAGGGACAGCCCAAAGATCAATTGGAGTCAAACTCATTCACAAAGGTTTCTGTTTTGGAGGTGAATGGAATGTTGCTCCACTGACCGGACGTAGCGGTGCCGAGTCCGGTCAGTTCTTTGGCTCGGCGAAGAGGCCTGATGGCAACCGGACGCGACACTGGAACAGGGCCAGCAAGGCTTCGATGTTGACGCAGGACCAGACGTGGGAGGGTCTATGACCGGATGCATGTAAGCCAGCGTTCGATCAACATCAGTAAGGGTCCAGAGAGCGTTTTCGGTGACCTAACGTGTCAAGTCGGGGTCGACCGGACTCCGGGCTGAGTCCGATCACTCCAACGGCTCTTTGGCGATTTGTAACTATTGGTTACTGACCGGCGCGTCCGGTCACTTTGAAATTTGCTGAGTTGGACCCCAACGACTATGTTTTGTAGTGGGGTGTATAAATACATCTCCTACTCTTCCAATTCAGCTCTCTTGCCCATTTGTTCAGCTGAGGAAACACTTTGGAGTGCAAGGGAGAGCAAGAGCCTAGTGGAGTGATTGAGATTTGATAGTCTAAGATTAAGGACCTCATTAGTGCATAGGGAGTAGCAAGTGTGCATCCACCTTTCTCATTAGGTTTGTCTTGGTCAAGTGAGAGTTTATGCTTGTTACTCTTGGTGATCGCCATCACCTAGACGGCTCGGTAGTGATTGGAAGCTTGGTGATCATCCGGCAGAGCTTGTGGATGATCCAAGCCATGGTGTGGGCGGTTGTGGCCGATTCACCGCGACGGAGTGTCGAAGAATTAGCCCGTAGAGAGCACTTGATCCTTGCGCGAGTGCTCCAATAAGGACTAGTGGGGAGTGGTGACTCGCCGATACTTCAGAAAAGCATCGCCGCGTTCTTCTCCTTCTCTTTACTTTGAGCATTTGCTTTTGAGCAATTCAATTCATGTCTTTATATTCTTAGAATTGCCATGCTAGAGTAAGATTGGAACCTAGGGTGCAAAACTTTTGTGCGGTATAACAATAGAGAACACATTTAGGCACTAGGGGTAAAATGGGCTAAGTGTAGGGCTTAATTATTGCAAGAAATTTTAGAATTAACCCAATTCACCCCTCTTTTGGACATCTTGATCCTTTCAGAGACTATTCAGGAGGCTAACAGTCACGCGAGACCTCCTCGGGAATTGATCTCGTGTAGACCTTTCACATGACCTATCTTCAGAAACTCCATTTCATTTTCACATTTAACTAGGAGGGTTGTTCCTAATATAAATATCCCTTGTCCTTAGTCTATTAGGAACTTTTTGATGAATTGGCCCTCATGTTGCAGCCGAGTTGCTGAGTGTCTTATTCAAACTTTTGTTCTTCCTAGACTTGTGAAGAGATCCCTCTGGAACCCTCTAATTCATGCTCTAGACTCATTGGGTCTTCCTGATTGTGGCTCTACCGTCATCCGGAGATTGTGTCGAAGTCTTCACGGTTTCGGTGCCTCTCTTCCCGTCGCTTGGTCGCATCCAATCTTTGTTAGGTATAAAGCTAGGTACCCCGCTATTCGCAGAGACATGTCGATCTGGCTTCAGTTGAGTTTTTTTTTTCGAAGGCTTCGGTTGAGTACTCTGGTTATGATGATAAGAAACCTTCTTGACGGTGGTCCGATTTTTACGACAGTAGGTCAACAATTGTCACCAGAATTGACAAAAAAAAGTTGCTACAATTTGTTTGGCTACACACTAATTCACCCTAATCCACATGAGTTGAGGTATTTGGTAGATTATTAGTTATTTTTTTTCAACCTAATACCTATCTTAGGTCTTGCCTAACTGGTGCGAGACGTTGGTTATCAGAAATAGATTCTGGAGGTGCTGAGTCCAAAAAAGAAAAACAAAACAGGGTAGGGTCTAGGGAGTGGCCGAGGGCGCAAGGTTCTTGCTCGCTCGATGTAGAGACCCTGCATCAGCATTTCAGCACTGACGGAACCCCTTGCTCTTCTTGGGGTAAGATACAACAGCCATTGCAAAAAGTGCTAGTATGATGAGTCATGACAGTACAGTGAGGCACAGTCACACAATCTTTCATCTAATCCCACGAGGGATCCCGTCGCCCCAGCATCCTATATATCAATATTTGCACCACAAAGTAAAAAGGGGGCAGACCAGTGCCGGAGGCATCCACAGACCAGTGCCGGAGGCTCCCACATGAATGGGATCTGAGGAAAGAAAAAACCGAGGCAAGCCTTCCCTCCGCAAAATCTACGGAGAGGCTGCTTCAAATCCACGACCTGGTGACTTAGTGAGACAGCTCTCACCGCTGCACCAGACCTGTCCTTCATTTGCACCACAAAGTACATTTTGCAAATTATTCTACAAAATTCCACACAATGGCAGGCCCATAGCAGTTGCCAGGAATTTTGCACAGGGTTAAGAAGGTAAAACCTCACATAAAAACACGAAAAATTCATTGACCCAATGTTGTATTGTATCCTAGCCTAGCAACGTGCGTCAGAGCAGGGTGGATGTTGGATTTCATGACCATGAGCTTTCAAAGATCAGAGATGTGTTTCCCGCTGATGAAATCCACCACTTTGGTGACTGCCAGGTCCAGTGCCGCTGTTACGGCAATCAGGTTCTGCAGAAACTCCTCAGACGTTGGCTTCTCCCCATCCACGATATCAGTCACAGCTTTCACAAAGATCGCTGGTGTTGAGAACATGTCGGCGACATATGCCACAGCAGCTCCCTGAAAAAGGTAAACGAGGGAAAATCAGACCACTTTTGAAGACTCAAGATCACAATATACCGTTAGCAAGTAAAGAGGAAGGAAACAAAGTAGGCAACGTAGTTGCCTGCTAAACTGCACACTGAGCACCAGTGCACTTGACACAATTGCTCAATGCTGATTATTAAACTTTGCATCTTGTGTTAACTTTGAATGATCTCAGCTAACAACAAAACCCATTGCACATGGCTACCTATTTCAACTACCACAGATGTAAGGTTTGTAGAAAACAGTCCTAGAATAAATGAAGGATGTTTTTTAACAAGAAATGTTAGGCTAGCTGCTAGAATAACTCCATTTTCAGGCTGTTTGCTTGTATTCATAAACTGATTGTTTGAGAAAAAAAGTGCAGACCTCCATATCCTTTATTGTAGCATCATTGCTCAGTATCACCTCCTCATCATGGGGAGACATATCCAGAGAATCCCCAGTCGACAACTTGCCAACCTGAAATGAAGGAAGTGCTTGGTAAGACAAGTCCTATTCAGGTTTGCCCATAGATTGCTACAAGCTCAGAAGTTTGCCCATAGAACTACAAATTTATCACAGAATTTATGCCCACTAAAAGGAAATAGCAAGAGGCATATTTCTCTAAGCACAACATGCAAGAAAATGACTCAGAAGTTTGGCAACAGGAGATAGCTATGGCTCACCTTCAAATTGAGTTCCTTCAAGATATTAGGAGCTGCAAAAGTTTTCCGTGCTCCAATTCCATACATGTCAAAAACCTAATGCATATACAGCAACAAGTCCATTTTAAAATGGCTGAAATTTTAGAGACTGGGAAAAAGAGCAATAATAGCTGCAGAAGGCATCATATTAAAATTAAAAAAAGAAAGAATCCATAATTATAGGCACAACCATGAACAAGTAATATACATGATAGATTTAAGTTATTAATAATGATGGTGCAGCAGGGCAAGGAACCCCAATTAGTTAGAGCAAATCAGATTAGATCAGGATTATTAGTTAGATCAAATTAGTTATGTATTGTCTGGCACATAGATGATTTGCTCATCTCTAACAATAAAATGGATATATAACCCCATCACAACACATATATGAAAAATGTGAAACAATACTCACAGGTATTGGTATCCTCCTGTCATGGAATGCAACATCTGATGCTAGGAATACATCTCCAATGCTTGCTCCTTTGGCCTAAACACAAGAAAGCAAATGTTGAAACAGAGTATTAAACTAGAACATAGAAGGCAAACATCAGCAAAGTTCTAGTGCATACCTTGAAGCCACCAGCAGTGCCAGCATTAATGATAAGGTCTGGCTTCAATGTTTGAATGGAAAAACTAGTCACAAGAGCTGTCGATACTGTACCAACACTGTCGACTCCTGCAAGGACGCTGTTCTTAGTAAGAAACGAAGTTGATTGACACAGAATTATCCTGAAGATAATTGCATAACATGTAGGCATGCAGGTTCTAGTGGGTCAACCCAGTGACCCACTACCCAAAATATTTAGGCTGGTGTAAATACCCACTGGGATGGCCCACTGAACTTGGGGCTAAGTGGTGCTGAGCACTCTGTGCTACTGTGTAACCCAATCGGAGTTCCCTGGCCTGGCCGCCTCGTCCCATCCATTCACACCACCCCGCAATCAGCAGGTCATGGACTGGATTAACAAAGTGGCAGATAACTGCTAGGGATGCTTCGGTGGCGGCCCCTGAAGATCAATGCTTGATAGTTGGGACAGCACCATTTACCCGCCTTGACGACAGCACTAGACCTGTCTTCCCTAGCGATCAAATAGTCAGAGTGGTGGTGTCACTGAAGCTTGAGACAACCAGGTCATTTCTGTGATCCTGCGCCACCGCTTGCTTCCTCGACTGCCACAACCAGATCCTCTTCAGCAAGCAGCAGACCAACCTTCGCCGACCTCCGTGGCATTCCAACTGTGTGCCTCCACATTCCAACTGTGTGCCTCCACATGACGCAGCAGAGACTTCTGTGTGATCCATCCCTGACCACTCGACTTCTGTATGACCCCTCCCTGAACGCCCCCCCCCCCCCCCCCCACCCCGAGGAAGACCTTAACAAGGGCAGGGGGCAATGGTTCCCTACTTCAATCAAATAGTCAAAGTAACTAACAGTCGAGTAGTCTGTACATTGTCATCTTACTGCATATGCCCATACTGTCTATATTGTGCCATGTCCTGATGGTTTAGCAGCTACATCTGGTGTGTCAGTGAGGTTCATGTTTCTTCTTGACATGCAGTTTGTGTAATTATTGCTTGTGGTGTTTATCCTAACTGTCTAACAAAGCGAGATGAGGGTATAATATTGAAGGATCCCTTGATTTCTTATTGACTGCTTTGTTGCTTCATTTCCTAAACATAGGTCAAACACTAAAGCACCTATATTAGTTTTCACTTCTAACTGTGAGATGGCCTTAGTGTGTGCACAATGCAATTTGTTCTCCATTTCATCTATCTTGTTCTGGACTTTCTCCAAACAGAGCTCTAAACAACAGAGATTTTGTGCTGCAAAAGCTTAACTGACTGGATAACCAAGCAGATAACCTAAAGACTAGCAGATGTCTAACAGCCTGATCATGCACCTAACTAACTTGATAACTGCTAGGGACAAGGAGTCCGGACAAGGAATGACTGATCCTGAATGACTCCTACTGATCAGGACTCGGAAGTGAAACAAGACACACATGCAACCGATTATTCTAACATTCTGTCATGTTATTACTTAGCATGTTTCCTTTCTTTCTTGCTGAAAATATAGAGATCCCAATTACTTTTGGTGAAGTTAACTATGATGTCTCTCTTTTTAGATGGATATGCTTCTAGAGTTGTAGTGGTACTTCTGAAGTTGCAGGTTCAATGAAACAAGAAATGGACCTTTAGCTTTTGTCAAAGCTTCTAGCCAATATTTTCAGAGAAGATGCTGAAATATTTCAACACCCACCGCAGCTATCTCTCTACTTCGATATCTGAACTTGCGGTTTGTCAGTCAGGCTCTGCGGTCTTCATTCTTCAGGTTCAGGTTTTGTGGCTTGATAGTTATGTCATGTGATCTCCAGGTTCAGGTACATGGCTTGATAGTTATGTCATGTGATCTCCAGGTTCGGGTTCATGGCAAGCAGCATCAGGAAACAGAGTCACCTTATATAGCTCCTCCTTAGGTCACACCAAGCAGAAGTTATATTCTCTTATCTATATTTTTGGCAGAGCTATATTAGTCTCTCGCGCAAGTTTCCCCATTCCACTCATACTAAGGCGGATTGTATTGGGTCAAGTCAGCCCAAAGCCCAAAAATAATTAATTGGGTAGCGTGGGTCGGGCCTTGGGTCAACCAATTCCAACCCACCTACAAGGTTAATCACACAGACTAAGGAAAGGAAGATGCTGATGTATTATTGCTGGAAGTTCTATGAGCTACTTGGGGGCATGATAAGAATGTAACTTGACAACCAACTAATGGAAATGTAAACCATCCAGAACTTACCAAAAACAGCATCCTTTCCAGGCAATACAAGGTCAATGTGGAGGCCTTTGTAGTTGCCATGGTACCTAACCCATGGGGCACCTTTAGGAAAACTGCAAGGTACATATAACAAAAAATGGTGTTAGCTTCAGGATATCATTCAGGTAGTATGTATTATGATGAATTTATGATAATGGATGACATCCCAGGTCCCACCACAGAATGGCTTAGTTACTTCCTTTAGTAAAACCAGGTACTGGCCAAATGCTGACACTTGATTCATGTATCATAGACTTTATGAGCACAGAATGCATAAACCTAGAGAGCATCATACTAATAACACTTTGTTAGCTCCAGTAACGCTTTGCATTCTTATTCAGAATGACATAGTTGCTACTAACTGCGTAGTGATCCATGTTGCCCGCACACAGCAATCTGAACTAGAGGCAGAAATACCCAGAGGTACTAGCAAGTCATACCGTTCAGCATGCAGCACAAGGGGAAAATTTGCCTACTATCCCTTGAAATCGCCCTAATCCATTCCACAGAAGTCGCACTAATCCATTCCACTGAAATCGCACTGAGAGCACATACGCTGGAGACGCTGAAGAAGAACCAAAAGAGAAAAGGAAAAGGGCACTGACGTGGATTCGTGGGCGGGCGCCTCGACGAGCTTGAACTTGCTGACGAGCGGCGTCGCCTCCGTCTGCATCGCTGCAACGAGACCCGAGCAAAGCCGCAATACCCGCGGAGTAAGCGAAGCGAGAAACAGAGCAGAGCAAAGCCTTCGGAAGCAGGAAGCGGCAGGGGATCGGGTTACCTACGACGATGAGGACCTTGGAGATCGGGCCAGCTTCGGCAGCCATGGGCGGAGGTGCGAGATCTAGCAGGCGGATTGGGAGCGGTGAATTGTCGCCGACGGGGTGGGGATGGAATCCGATAGTCGAGGCGGCGCTGCGGTGAACAGGTTTCCGTGATTCCGTCTCTCTTATAGACTGGACTGGTGGGGCCGGGTTGGGACCAACAGCGCGGGCGGCATGACTGGTGCCGGCCGGCTGACGACGCTCCTGGACCGCACCTCCACTCGTGTCTCGTGCTGCCAACCAAGGCGCAGTCAACCTGTTCGGCGCCGTCCCTCCTCCGAGCTCCGACAATAAGGATCAAAACGGTCGAACCGGTCGAAAAACTCCTCGATCATTTTCTACTTTTACATTTAAAATACGAAAGCGAAAGCGGACAAGTCGGACATAAAAACGAACACGAACTTATGGAATATCTAGAATTTCAGAAACGAACCAATTCGAGCGGAATTATGTCGAACACGGTCGGTATGCGAAAATTTAATACGAAATACCGACCCACAGTGCATAGCATTAAACAAGTGCATGACCAAATACATAACAAGTTCACAACTAACAAGTGCATGTAAGAGAGATGAGGCTGGGTGCCGTCTATAAGAGAGGGCAGCTAGCCACCAGTAGAAAGAACGCAGCTGCGTGGTGAGCAGCCTGTAATTGGGCTGTATGATCTGTGCAGTTGGCCAAAATCGGTTTAAACCGAATTTTGAATTCGGAATATTTCAAATTAAAAGTAGAAAAGTAGAAAACGGTCGAAAAATTTGTAAACCGTTTTCTACTTTTACATTTGAAATACGAAACATCTCAAATGCGAAAGCGAAAACGGTAAAGTCGGACAAGAAAATGCGGATTCGATCAGATTAAATATAGAAAACGATGCGGTTCAGTTCGGGATATTTCCGTTCCGTTTTCATCCTTATCCGACAATGCGACGTTAGGATTACGCTGTTAGCTAGAGCCTAGAAGGGGCGACCCGCGACCGGGCGATTGACCATGAGATGAGAGACAGAGAGGGAGGGCGAGACGCACGCCGCACTGGGGAGAAAATCAGAAATTTGCCCTCATGGTAGGTGGGCTTCGCCCAAATGCCATCAAATTTGTGGGCTTCGCTGAAATGCCTTATGAAACAAGTCCAACACGTTATAATGCCATTTTAAGATTTAAGTCCATTTTTAATATTTTTCACCCAAAATTTTAGTCTGAACTGACCATTTTGCCCCTGAGCTTGTTGACCCCTGCCCTCTCATCTCTCCCCCTCTCGTTCTCTCGCTCCCGTCGCCTCCCCTTCCTCTCTCCCTCTCCCGCTCTCTCCCGAGGTGGCGCAGCGCGGGCAGCCCCCCTTCCCTCTCCCTCTCCCTCCGTCTCGATCTACCACTGAGCCGTGGCGCGGCCGGCGCAGGGCAGGGCAGAGGCATGGCCTTGCAGGCCAATCATCCTCATCTTCCCCCCTCTCCCTCTCTCCTACTGTGGCCGCTCATGGTGCTCGTGCCCGGTGCCCGGTGCCGGTGGGTCTCGGCGATGCTGCGGTTGGCACAGAGTAGTCTCAGGTGCACCCGTTTCCTTGTATTTTGGGATTTTGCTTTTGCCTCTCTGATTTGTCCCTTCGATGACTTCGATTCGTGTTCTGGGGTTTGGCCTAGAATGCCTGTTGTTCCAATGTTTGCCTTCTCTGTGTTTATCTGTGAAAGGACGGCACCAATTGGCAATGACAGTACCAATTCGTGTTCTAGGGATTGTGCCTGTGATTTTATTTTTGCAGCTTTTTTTCTCAGTTTTTCCTCCCCCGTTCTTGCTTCGATTCTTCATTTTGAGACCGATTTAGTTCGTTCTTTTTTGCTCAGATTTGTGCTATGACATGAGTTGATGCTACCCCTTAAGTGAATTTGATTGAATCTGAGTCGAGCACGAAGAAATTGAACGAATTTTATTTTTGGGGAGTTTTTCGTGTTCTTGGCCGTGATCTAATTTTCCCGTAGTTTGGGTTGAAATTGGGCGATGATCTCTTAGAGTATGCTCACCAACTCCCTTGTGATGGCCTGTGAAAAGTTTGGTCGCGATTTGTTTTGATTTGGTCCAGTTTTTCATCGATTTTGTGGCCGCCGGTTTCCTGTTCTAGATTTTCCGGAGTTTGGGTTAATCCCAAGAGATGATTTGTTGGGGATGAGTTCGTAGGTAGTTGAATTTCTCTCAAAATTTGGGAGCGAATCATAGAGTTTTGAGTCGAATTTCATCGATTTTGTTATCGCCCTTTTTCTATTCTTGAAGGCATCGGTCTCCTGTTCTTCTGCTTGCACATAGGGTCGGACAACAGGGCCAACGCAGTGCGCCGCTCATCCTTGGCTAGCAGCCCCGATCACTCACGTGCAGTAGGCATGCAACACCTGTTGATCTTCGTTTCTTCCTGCTTGTTCGTCGTGGGAGGCCGAGCAATAGGAGCCGCGTGCTCCCAGCGCCAGAGCAGCACTCGGTCCAGGTGGGCACTCGCCCAAGCGCCCAGGTCCAGTGACCGGCCGCTCGCCCAGGTGCTCTGCTCAGCGGTGAGCAGCTCCACCGCTCAAGCCCCTCTCTGTCTCCCACCGTCTCTCTCTCTCTCTGCCCGGCGGCGAGCAGCACCACCGCCCGCACTTCTCTCTGCTCGATTCTGTTCGATTGCATCTGCTCGCTTTCCCCAGTCGCGGACAGGGGTAAAACGGTCACGCCTGGTAAAAAAAGATGGGGTCAGAAATTTACAAAGCTGGAAAAAACACGAAATGGCAAAATAGCGTGAAACACATCTTTCATAAGGGCATTCTGGCGAAGCCCACAAACTTAATGGCATTCTAGGGAAGCCCACTCCCCATAAGGGCAAAATTCCCATTTTCTCCCACATGGGAGAGATTTTTTTTCGGCCGCTGGCGCTAGCATACTGCTAGCTTGGTGGATTCTGGGCCGGTAGGTGGAAGGCTTATTTTGGGCTGGGCCAGAAACTTCGAGGGGTGGTAGGATTGCTCACTTGCTACCCATTGGATCCACTCAAAAAAAACTGGGACCCATTGGAGTAAATTACTTTTTTTCTCTATTCTCTATGGGCAGTTCATACATTGGTTTTTTCGGCATCCGTGGCTGTGGGAAGTAGAGGATGTCCAATTGGAGATGGCAAGGGCAAAAACTCATGATTGCTATAAAAAGTTTATAACTATTTTTTTTAATCCATGATGCCGACGGCGGTAGATGTGGCGGAGGGGAAGTAGAAGGATGTATGGTTAGTCATGATGGCACCCTGGTGAAGACGGTTCAACATGACAACAAGGTGGAGACAGATTCGACATTTCAAACCATCGAAGACAAGCATAGGGCACAGTGAGAGTGAATATCTAATGTCAATCTCTATGGACATTAAATATGCTGATATGGTATTGTATTGATAAAGAGAGATGATAAAGAGTAGGGAGAGTTTTACGGGGATGAAACTCTTCTACACTGTTTTCAAAATATTGGTATGTTAAAAACTACGATATAAAACCCCTACTGAAACCGTCCTAAGGCAAGAGAGAAGAGTAGTGGCGGAAGTCGGGAGGGAGGATTGGAAGTTGAGAGACCATTGCCTTTTTATATTCACATGGATAGATATGGGACGTAGAATCCGGTCAATACATGCGAATTCGAGTATTTGATGGGCCACAAATACCATGAGGTTACTTAGATGGGTCTTTTTTACTAGCATGTTCCTTCTAATAATGTCAACTATAGACTAAGATGGGCCACTATGCGCACACTGTACTACGTGTTTCAAGGGTTGCTATGAGCCCATACATAGGGTTCTCCAATGCAGAAACAAGAACCATATAAGGCGGTACATGTCATAATTCATCATATGTGGATACAAATTAATGAAGAGAGACAGATAGAGAGCACGGCTAGCTTGATGTAGTCTATGTATTAATGGAATTGCCAATTTTGTCTCCAACTATCACATAATAAATCCAAATTTGTCCCTCATTTCTCAATCCAGCTAACTGAATCCCAAAAATTTCATTTGCAGAATCAATCTAGTCCCTGATACTAGGTGGCGTTCCGTGTTGGTGTCCATGTCACGTGCCTTCTGCTTCTGGGCTTCTGGCCATCTACAGGGAGTATGGGATCAGTGCGTAGCAATAAGCCTGCCGTTGGGGAGGGTATGAGCAAACCCGTTCTTACCCATGCCCAAATTCATTTCTAAGATACCCTCCCCATAATTCCCCATACCCAATGGATAATCTGATTCAACTACTCATGAGTACGTGCTTTGCACTGTCCAAGCCGCTCCTCGTCTTCGCGATGACCCAGAGGTGTCAGAAGTTGCACCTTGCTTTGGTTGCGGTCTCTTCCTCTGCTAGTCTGCTGTCCTAGTGCAGTTTGCCAGGATCCCAGTGCACACTCTGTGTCCTGCAGGAGCAGTTCGTGGTCATGCCGCTCGTCGTCGTCGTCTCGCTCTTGCCGCTGGCCGCGCACATCAGCATCATCCGTGCCTTCGTCAACGTCGATGTCCTTGGTGGATCACGTGACACGGGTTCTCCTTGGCCATGGCCGCCGATAGCGACACAGTTCCCGCGGCCGCAAGGCGCAAGCACACGCACACAGGTGGACGTCGCCACAATTGCAGCACGCCTCGTCGGCGCCGGCGCCGGCGGGCAGCGCAGCTCCCGCGGCCGCAGACAGACGTAGCGACAGTACACCTACAGCAGCCCCCTGCAAGCTCGTGCTTTCTATGTGATACAGTATCTTAGAAACATCCATGGAGAACAGAACGCAAGGTAGGAGACGAGGTTACGGGTAGAAACGGGGATACCCATACCCTACCCTTAATCTAACGGGTAGCAGGCTACTTACCCATACCCTACCCAAAGCACACGGGTGTGGATTTGGGGAATGGATTAGAATATCCAACGACTGACATGCGTGGCATGGCACTAAAAGCATCTCTAAGAGTACCTAATATATCTTTCATATCCATGTTTTTTAGCAAGATTGAAAAGAACCCCACTCCAACA